ATGTATATATATGTATGTATATATATGTATGTATATATATGTATGTATATATATGTATGTATATATATGTATGTATATATATGTATATGTATATGTATATGTATATGTATATATACATATGTATATATATGTATATTGTATGTATGTATGTATGTATGTATAAAGAAATGTACCTCGGCCTTTTCAAGTTGCTGCTTTACCACAGCTTGCAACAGCAGTCTGAAAACTTCTTCCATACTCGTATGAGACTTGACTGTGACATCATAAAAGGAGGTTACATAGGGAATAAATTCGCCTTGGAGGTACTCGTCAAAACTTGCAGTTGTCACAAGGTTCTCATCGTCCACCAGGCTGATTATCTAAAATATATAAATATATAATTCACGTATTGGTAGTTTAGTAAAAATTGCCCTTTATGAAACTTTAATTTACTAACCTCGTGTGAAAACAGTCTGTAGACGGAATATATTTCAGCAAGTCTCGGTGGTAGCCCACACAAATATTCCTTGAAATAGGTAATATGCTGCGCCAGATTTTCCCTGTTGACTCTCTCACCCATACATATTATATCTAAGATACTATGGGTACTTGATAACGAGAAAATCTGCTTTTTCTTCTCAAGAAAATCTTCAGCAGTGCCATCCTCTTTAATGATTAATTTATTAAACCATATTGGCGTTGTTCTTTCAAATGACCTATAGAAAATACAAAATATACGTATACATACATACATAAGAGAAAGTGAACAATAACACAACACAACATAACACTTGCTGAACTAGTTTGGTTCGATGCTGAATTAATATAAACGAGTATGTTTATGACATTCAGTATATAGTTCATAACTTCCAGTCTTAACTGAATCCGTCTGACCGTGTAGCTCAGTTTCTAGAGCGTCGATCTAGCAATTCAAAGGTCGGAGGTTCAAGACGCAGCCGCGGCAGACTTTATCTTTCTGCTTGCGCTGGGTATGGAAATTATGAAATACACACTCGAGAACATTTTCTGTCTGTTAAGAATAAACTAGCAAATCATTGTACCTCATATCATCCTCCATTTTAAAATTAATGGTCAGAAGGAATGACGTCAACGGTTTCTCGTTTCCTCTGCCTTGGGTTTGGTTTCCCAAACCATTAAACACAGAAACCAGTGGCTGTCGTAAGATGCTGGGATGAGTCGGGTCATCCCAGCAAATTGGGATTGTTGACTTGGTTAAATCTGTCACAATGAACTCGCCAGACGATTGCGATACTAGTTGCATTCCCATCAGATTGCCGATTATTTGTAATGCTGTAGATTTTCCACATGCTGTATCTCCAACAGCAGTAGGAACTGGACATGCACCTTCAGTGATAGGAAATATTATGTATTAACATCTCTATTAATATATTATAAAACATAACACTTCCGTCTTGTCGGCACCCTACTGTTTTCTGAAACAAGGAAAATTGTACCCAAACGGTTTGAAGAATTGTTACGTCTCGCATAAAATTTCTTTTAATCAAAAAATATCGTTTGGGCGATTTAAAAATATTCTGTAGATAGGGTAACCAGGCTTGTTTTAGGTAAAGTGTGTCAGAAAAACAAATTAATGAAACCGACTATATTGAAAGCCATGTTCAGAGTTACTTCGTTTTTTATGAACAATTGCCCAATCAAAAAATATATAACACTTCTGCAAAAATGAATCCAAATTATAAATGTAGACTAAATGAAAAAACTATTTTGTCCTATCTTTATCCTACATATGTCATGGGTGTTCCAGGGGGATAAATGAAATAAACGTCTTTACCAATTAAAGCTAGAATCTTTTCGTAATGAAACGCTCCTATTCCCCCACTCAAAAATAAAATGAATGGCATGAAATTCGGTCCAAAGAAATGCTTGGCTTGATTGATAAACATGTGCCATCGAAAAGCCCTAAAAGGCAATTCCATTTGCACTTGGTGGCCTCGCAGGAACGACCTGACGTATTTATCGGACAGCGCTGCTGGCATCAAACGAAGAAATGGTACCATCCATCTATGACGCCAATCGGCCTCATCTATTATACCGTCCTTGTTTACCTGTAATCAAAAACAAATGTGGACTGAATAAACTTTTCCTTATTAATTTAAAAAGAAACGTCAACATTCGACAAAGTTTCTCTTGCCTAAAAAACTTAAAAATTGTCCAAATATATTATTTGTCAAAAGACCCTGCATTATGCATGATATACACAATGAGAATGATTTTATATGTATACAATATACAAGATTTAAACATTTACAAACAACCCCCCCCCCCCGGGAGTCGTACGCCTATGTAAACGACTATAGAATAATATATAAAGTAAAGCCATGGGTGGAAACAGCATTCAACATAAAATCCTTTCATATCTTTCACATACTTTTATATTTATTAGCCAGGTTGAATTATATAAGTTTACTTTTACCAGATAAATTTATTGTTGCAAAGTTTTCATCCATAAGCCCGGATCTTCACCATTACTTTATAATTACTTACTTGTAATTTCTCATTCAAGATGTGAACAGATGAGTCAAAATCGTCTTTCACGTCTGTAGAGTTGGCCAAATCTTCATCAACCTCGCCGTCTTCAAATTCTCCGAAGTTGTTCACACGACGTAAATTTAATTGTCGTCCAATGGTCAGTGTGCCTTTGTAAACTTTCCAGTTATTGGAAACGAAGTTTTCCAATAAACCCATGACGTATCGTGTCAGTTGTTCATCACTGACTGGTTGCCAAAAGACCCCACCACTTGCACTGAAGGTGCGGTTTATTGCCAATTTAAATTTCTTGGCGATCTCCATCTCGTCTATTGTTACGAAACATTCCCTACGAAATAAGATTTAAAATAATTTTGCTTTGTGGAAATACCACCTAGAAAGGAATTTTTGACAAAATGAAGCAAATAAATTTTGAAGGAAATTCTAGAAAATTATATTTTAAATATCGCCTAGTATCTCCGTATCTGTCGTTATTTTTAGAATGGAGAGTGAAAAAAGTAACAAACGTTAAATCTAGTAACACTTGACACAAAACAGACTTTTTACAATTTTCAGAGAGATATTTCCACTGCATGGCACCAGGGGCGTGGCGACTTGGGGGGGGGGGCTTGGGGGGGGGAGGGTCAAAATATATTGAGGAAATACTACTGCCAGGTGTAAAATAATTTCAAATCTTTATAAAAATCGATAACGCCGATTACAATTGCGTATATACTTCAATGAAGTACAGCAATTTTCAGACCACTAACCATAGGAGCTGAAGGCTAAAATTTTGCGATAATTCTATTTTTTTGTTTCATGAATTATTAAAATTCGAGCAGAATTTTCAAAATGACCTGGAAAAGACAAATTTTGAGCTTTATTCTAAGCATGCTGTTGCTATGACAACAGAGGGAGCCACCTTAAGATTCCGTTTGACCGTGAAACAACATGCATTCGCAAAGCACGTTGGACTGTTCAAAATTGACCGTTTCTAGGGTCAAATGACAATGTTTCTAAGGCCGGAATTACAGTTGAATTTATAGAAATGTGTCAGAAAGAAAGGCCGTTACTTTCAAAACGGAAAGCCCATTTCGCCAAACAGAAGATGTATTAATTTAATATTATAGACGAAATCAAATTGCCGATTATGGCCTGTCGTTTAACCCCCAATAAGGAAGTAAAATTGTACAACTCAAAAACGAAAAAGTTGGTCATTTTCATTGAAACAGTTGGTCATTATGGTATGACCCCCCCCCCCC